AAGGAAAAATAACCACCGCTAAAGTTAAAATAAAGTACAACAGATTAAAGTTACTTAATCCAGTGTTCATTTCAATGAAAATCTTTTCTTAATTTTCTAACTTTTTTTTCTCTGAAATTCAGCAATCAAACAAATCCATTCATAATATAAATTAGATTGATAATTTAAAGAGAATTTTTGAAAACTGCCAAGAGTGGTCAATCGGTTGTCAATCGGTTTGAATATTTACTTCCAACCAGTGGTCAAACGCAGAAATAGAACAATAGGCAATTAGGGTCTACTGTTAAAATGACCACTACAATGACCACTTATATATAATTGGATATCATATATTACAAGAACTTACTTGGTTCTGCCTCAGTGTGTAAGCATGTGCAAGGTAGGAACAAAAGAAAAAAGGTGCTGGGCGTATAAAATATATTCAATGTTACATAATATTGTCTAGGATAAAGGACCAGAAAAATAATTTATTGAGTTAACTCGTTATTAGTCCCCTACCGGTGAAACCGGAGGGGACTATAGGTTTCATTCCGCTTCATTGATTTTTGACGGATTTATGGCATTTTCAATTTTTAACGGGGAACCAGATTACACTTGCCGGTAGGGGACTAGTATTGCTAATGCAATACTCTCAGAATGCTTGTTTTCTTATGTCATCCACCGCGGCAGATAAAGTTACCAAAGAAACTTAAAACACTTGCACAGGTCGGTGCAGCATACAGACAAACACAACTACACGTAAACTGCAATAAAATGGAAATAAAGGTAATGTAAGATAACCAGCACAAGCACGTGTCGTCCTTTGCACGCAAGTACCCATGACAAGAAAGCAGTCAGGCATAATAAATGCAAAAGGTATATCCCAGTGCTAATATCGGCGATAGGAAAGCTAATATGGCGTATGCCTATTTACGAGTCGTGTTCACCTTAAATGATAGATTGTATTTGCTGACAAGGTCATTGTATCAACCAAAGAACTTCCGAAATGCTGACTTTAAACGAGACTGATGTTATCCTTGTTTCTTCAACTTGTTAGTCAATAGCTTGCCTCGTTTATTCGAATATTCAAATTCTTGTGATGTATCTTCAAATTCTTGTGGTGAATGTCCAATATCTTATGATGTATATTCGAAATCTTGTGATGTATCTTTTATTATCTTGTGATGTATATTCGAAATCTTGTGATGTATATTCTATTATCTTGTGATGTATATTCGAAATCTTGTTATGTATATTCTATAGTCGTGTGATGTATGTTCAATATCTTGTTATGTATGTTATATAATTTTGTGATATATAATCGAAATCTTGTGATATATGTTCTTTAATCTTGTGATGTATGTGCAATAATTGCATTGTGGGAAATATGATGCAATAGTGTTCTATTAAAGTAAGAACAATTTTCATTCCTTGGAAATAACGAAAGCACCCGGTGATGTAATTTTGTACGTGCATCAATTCAGACTGTCATTTCTTTCATTTTGATACAAACAAAAAAGTTTTATGGGGATTAATATGCATGCAGGTATATTGAGGAAGATATAAATGTAATAAATAGAATAGAATGAATTCCATAAATCGTCGGAAATCAACTAATTACTAAAATTAAAAAAAAAAAAAAAAAAAAAAAAAAAAAAAAAAAAACAATAGCCTAGCTGTTCAACTTTTTTTTCTTTTCCTGTAAAAGAGCTGATCGATGATTAAAACAAAAGAATATCTTCTTGTCATATTAAAAATGATGACTACTTCCAGCATAATTATATAATTATTTGAAAACTCAAGTTACATTTAAATGAGTGTACAGTGCTGAGAAGGCTAATCTAGTTTTAACATTGTCAACTACAGTCTATCTTTTGTATGTTTTTTTTTTCCAGTTGCTGCTGTATACAACACTGTCATTTGATTTTTTTCAGTGTATTACACATGTAGTGAGACAATATTGCTTAAGTTTGACCACAGGCCTTTGGAACGCTTAAATCTGACTTTACAAATTGGGAAGTAAAAAAAAGACAAGTTATGGGACTCCTTACATAGGGTACCCACATTCCCTAATAAAATACTTGAAAATTGAATGCTCTAAAGTTTTACTTTCTATTCATATCTATTCATATATAATCAATGTACATTACTACCAAAGTTCATTCCAAAATTCCATGTACGTCCCGAGATGTGGTGAAATCAATTCCAAAATTGACCTACTTTTTTTTTTTACTCGACATTAGCTTGGGCCCTGGTTATTCACATGTAAACAGACGGTGTTTGAACTGCAGCGAACAGCTGCATAGTATTTGCACAATCTTTCAACATTTTAAAGGTGATTTTTTACTCCAGATCGTAATGTTAAATCAGAAATAATTCTTTACATGACAAAAAATTACAAAACGTTTGCTTCAACAACTTCAAAGCCATGTTGTTTAATAATATAAAAAGAACTATGATTGAACAAAATTTTCCCGGAATGTATAATATAACTTTTTATTTTTTTCAAAATATTATACCACTCAAATGTTGGTGATAACTTAGTAAGACCATATGATCATATCAGATAAAATTTTGTAGAGATCCGTCGTTCCCGCTATACAATTAGTGTAACTATTCAGAGTCCCAAGCTAATGTCGAGTAAAAAAATAAGGTTAATTTTGGAACATGATTTCAGCATATATCTCGGGAAGTATACGGGGTTTCGGAAAGAACTTTTTGGTAGTGACGTAGATTGTTTATATGTGAATAGTTTTGAATAGAAAGTAAACTTTTTAGCTCAATTGACTTAAAAGTATTTATTGGCGAATAAGGGTACTCTATGTAAGGAGTTCCATACCATTTTTTTTTAAACCTTAATTTTTTTAAAGCAATCTAATAGCCTGTGGGTTTGACGTGAGATATTATGCGAGTGATTGGTCAATTCATGATAGCCAGAACTGAAGACCAACTTGATGCAGCTCATGCTAAACCTAGACTTATCTGACAGCCTCCCAGTCATTTTAACATATTTAATACAATGTACATGCCCTACATGGAGCTTTGTAATTTGTTTGAGGAAGTCAAATAAAATCACTGTTTTTCCCCCTGTCAATTGAAATGCAAGGGATCACTGCCGAAATATTTTGCAGAGCTGTATCAGCTAGAGCCTCGATGGATGCCATTAATATGACACAAGATATTCCATCACGCGGCTAGGATAAGGCTGTACGTAAAATATCAAACTGTTCCAACTCTACTAACTTCTCTGAACTACCTAGATATGACGTCATAATAGCATATGACGTCAAGTCACCGCATACTTGAGCTGACATGACGGGGACAGTATCATAACTTTTACATTCCTTTCACATAACATGTCAAGATTTTTTAGCGTGTATTGTTTGATTCAAATGTCCGGATTATTCTTTAAGCTTAAGTGTGCTGTTATGATGTTGAACATTTGCAATTTAATATCGTTATTCCTTTAACTTGTCTGGTATACATAAATTCAAACATTAACAAAAAATTGACTGTGAAACGCTCCCCCTTACACGTCGGTGGACAGCGTTAGAATTTATAAATCGTATATATATTTGACTGGCACAAGTGATTAATTAGGATAAATTGAAGATATTTCCTGTGAATCTACTAGCGAAGTATGTCCTCTAACTGAATTTTGCTGGGGGATTGTATGTAATTTATCCTATTTTGCATAAATTGCGATAAAGAGTGAAAAATGCCCCCTTGTATATAGGTAAGTTGAATTTCTCGTGGAATATTTTCTCAAGAAGTAAAATTCAGACCTGCCCCCAGCACTTTATATGTACCAAAGATCACGATGAATTGACTTATGTGACAAATTTTTCTTAATAATGTTGTTTTGCGAGTTTTGTGCAACATTTAGGAATTTATAAGTGTCCGTCACGTGATCAACAAAGTCATGTGACAACACAAAAATGCATTATTATAATATCTGATTACACTCTCATCACAAGTTGACTGCAAATTCATACATAGAATACAAATTAAAACTAAAATCTAGCTCAAAAATAAAATGTATGTTTAATGCATATTAAGCCTTCGGACAGCCTTAACATAGCTGCGCACATATCAATATGTAGGCTATGGCTTACAGCTCTTACGAAAACCATCATACTGTGAAGGCTCTCACTTGTATGTAGCTCTCTTTGGCTTCATAACATATTGCTCAAAGCTAATATATCCTGGCTGAACATCAGATATTTGCCATAGTCCTACAAAGTGATGTTCGAATTCTCAAAAAAAAAAAAAAAAAAAAAAAAAAAAATAATAATAATAATAATAATAAATAAATAAATAAAATAAAATAAAATAAAAATAAAAATAAATAATAAAAAAACATTGCGAGAGTACTTATCTTATCTGATAAAAGATTCATCATTCACAATCAAGTACCTCATGGATTGTGTCTAAATATACCTGCTTTTCTTTCATTGAGAGGTCAGTTCACTTAACCAGAGGCTGTTTTGTGCTTTAAGACACAATATCACTGTCATGTGCTAATGAGAGGATCAAAAACCGAAATACTTCATTTTTGGCCTTCTTTCACAGATATTTCAACTATGTTCGTCTTGTTAACTTGCAAGCCGCTCTTTTGGAAGAAGTTGCATAACTTAACTTCAATATTATCCTCTTGTCTCATGTTCTACTATTATATATATTTACATCATGTCTTTATGTTTTCCTTATGTTTTCGATGGAAGTGATGTATTTTATAGAGTTCATTAAGAGTGAAGTTGACCAATTTATGTGTTCTTTTAAATTCCTATACGCATAATTTGGACAGCAATCAATGGCAATAAGTACTTCACTTATTCCTGTGACAATATACATGTATCTATTTTCAAATACACATATTACCTGTAGCAATATTTAAATGATTATGTTTTACAAATGAATGATTAAACATTATGCAGAAAATGTATTTTTACAAGTCACAGTGCTATATGTTTATGGTATTTCACTACTAAATTTTGTATGCCCATGCACTAAAAAGGTACTAAATTGAATTTTTTTTATTATGTTACACTTTATCTCCAATTTACATGTCATATGAATTACTGAACAGAACAGAGACCAACATGGTTTGTCAAAGTTTTTAGATTTCTCTTGGTGCAGGAATAAAGGCATCCTCGAAAGCCAGGCGTCCTGAGTCAACACGTTGCCGTTGGACCCCTGGCATATTTCATTCAATAAAGCTTTCATAAATAGTTAGATAAGGATTCAGTTGACACCTCAAATGCACGTGTTACAAGTTGTTTATCATAGAACGGCTTACTGTGATTGGTTGAGAGATAAGAAAAACAATCAAGATTTGTAATTTTTCCGAAAGATGTCCCCACAGTCAGCTCACAAATATTGAATGAAATATGCCAGGGGTCCAACGCCAACGTGTTGACTCAGGACCCCTGGCTTGCGAGGATGGAATAAAGGTACTGTAGTAAAAATTGATAGCAGTGCAATACATTTTGCTCATTCCTTATCATGCACAATTCTTATAAAGACAATGTTGACCGGGGTCCAAACGATGAGGATGCAACGGTTCTTGTTACACGTGTTGACCTTGAATCTGATGATAGTAGGCACGATCAGTTTTCAGATGTAAAAAATTCCTTGTATTCTGAAATGTGAAAATATAAAAAAAATCAATGTAAACTAAGGTCATTTTTAAAGAAAAAATTTTGTGCAGTGATCATAGTCCAAGTGAGCACAGGAAAAATAAACCTGTGTATGATATTTTGCATATTAACATATGTACATTAACATGTACCTAAGTATAAATCCTTAAGATAATGGACTGCATTTTTAGCTGTTAATGATGCAGCAGAGTAGGTACACTTGACTTTCACGAACTTGGAAATTGCTTTCCTAGCATATGGAGTCTGGTAAGATACTTCACAAAGAGGAGGATGCAAAACTAAACTATCATGTGAAACACCTGACGCATTAAATCAATTCATCAAGCCAAATTCCTGAAAAGTAAACCAAAAATAGGTAAATGAGGTCGAGGTCACATTGAAGGTTAAGTCAGAAAATATGACATAGTTGCATAGCTGTCACCAATTTGTTTTAGTGTATGAAGTGTGAAGAAAATCTCTTGAATAGTTTCAAACTTAAATTAAAATACAACAATTAGTAAAGTCAAATTGTCATAGGGGAGGGGACAAGCATAATAAAATAGACATAGTTGATAAGGTTTCACCAATGTGTTTTATTATATGCGTTGAGATAAAAGTATACTTAAAATTTCTTTGAAATTGAGTTTAAAATACAATCTGTAGTAAGGTAAAAAAGAAAGTCAAGGTTGAAAATTTTTGATGGAATTGAATAGCTCTCACCATTAGGTATAAGAATATGAATTTAAAAATATATATTTTATTATTCCTTTAAAACTGAGCTAAATGAAAATTTAATAAAGGAGAGGTCAAAATCTTAAAGAAGGTCGAAGGCATAAAATTTTAATGCAGTTCAGTAGGACTCATAAATATGTTCACAACGTTTGATAAAAATATCTTCTTTTTTTTTTTTTCTTTCTTTTTTCTTTTTGTTTTTTATTTATTTATTTGTTTGTTTGTTTTTTTTTTTTTTTTTTTTTTTTTTTTTTTTGAAATTGTGCTAAGTGAAAATTCAAGAAAAGTGAGGTCAAAGTCAATAGAGGGTCTAGGTCAAAAAGATTTGATGTAGTTTAATAGCCTCACTAATATGTACCAGCATAAAAGATTGATAAAAATATCTTAAATAGTTTCTGTGAAACTGAGGTAAAACAAATTAAAGAAAGGACAGTTCAAGGAAAAGGCCATGTCAGATGAAAAATTTTGATGCAGTTGAAGAGCTCTCATTAATATGTATCAGCAAGTGAGTTTGAAGAAAATAGCTTGAATAGCTTCTTTGTAACAGAGCTAAACACACATTAAGTGACAAGGTCAAAGGAAAGGTAAAGTTTTAAAAGAATTTACAGTTCTATGTATTGGCATGTAAGGTTTGATAAAAATATCTTGAATAATATCTTTAAAACTGCACTAAATGCAGTGTTATCGACAGACAGATGGAAAGACGGAAAGATTTAATACAGGCAAAAACTATATGCCCCGGTCATATAGACCGTTTCACAGTCACTGCGGTACTGTTCTTTTGCAGGGCAAAATCATATAGTTTGGTGAAATATGACGTAAAAGTAATTATTAAATATAACTCATTTAATTATCTCCCAAGAAAAACTTCGCCAAACGTTATTATTTTGCCCAGCAAAAGAGAAGTATCGCCGTTACCGTGAAGGGGCTAACTCTTGGTAGAGCATAAAAAATTCAAATATTTTAGTTTCACTATAATTTTTTAGTTAAGTTAACAAATCACTTATTTTCTGAATAGATTCCACCAAAATCATTCTGATACTTCTTCAGCATCTTCGCTAGCCAAGTATCTGATTCGTTTACCCTCATGTCCCCCAGTGCACTAAGACAACACCCATCAGCCACACAATTCTAAATTTATAGAACCTATTTTTTCTTATTTCTTTTTAATATTGATTTCGTTTAAATGACTAATTAATAATCGACTGTATTGTTATGACAACAATGTGTTTCGTTGGTTTGATATCATATTAGTGTCTTGAAAATTTAAACCACGGCTCACTACACTAAAATTATACAACACTAACATTACACTAAAATTTAAATACATGTATCATTGCATTTAATTGTTTGCACATGACTACACATAGTTTTTCTACATGAGTTCAGACATCTATTTGCAGATGAACACATGCATTACCATTTTCACTTGAGATTAAGCACAGCTCCAATGTTGGAGACAGTTATCCTTTGTTTCCTCATGACTTCCCAAATAGGATTTGTTCAATGCCCTTTTGTTGCCTCTGCAGTATTTGGACGGAATCCTTGCATAGCATTACCAGACAAGTGGAGCATCAACTTGAATAACTATCAGACTGGTCAAAGATCCTCTGTAATAGAAGCAAGAGGGATCTGGTGCCCATGTGGCTCTGACTGCAGAATCCATTCCATAGCTGAAAATATTAAAACATTTAGTTGATGATGCAAATTACTTTTAACTCTAACCTGTTGTTCATAATTTTAAGAAAAAGTCTAAAGAAATTGGGAATGTTTGTAAATTAATGGTTCTCATGTGTTACTTTTCTTTTAGAAAAAAATTAAAATAGTTCCATGCAAAACTTTGATCCCCTATTGTGGACCCGCCCTACTCCTGGGGGCAATGCGTTATTGAAACAGATTAAAATCTACACTACCTCAGGCAGCTTTCTATTAAGTTTTATGTTCCTGGTCTAGTGGTTCTTTAGAAGATTTTGAAAAAAAAAATCTCTTATCCCATACAGGTCATGATTTTTACAATTTCAAATCTTCAAAACCTCATCACAATACTTCAGATGCTTAGCTGAGTTTTCAGCTCAGGTGAGCTAAAAAAAAAATAATGTATTCAATGTTCCAATTTTTACCAATAAACCTGCCAAGCCTTCCCAATTTCTGTCCAAGGAAATTTCTGTTCTTATTATTAAATGCCATATCTAATGCTCTTTTCTTTTCATTAAAAATGTACAGAATAATATAACTTGTTCCAAGGAACACATGTGTCAACTTCCCTATATTGCATCATTAAAAGTGTAGATAAATCTTTAGAGTGGTCAGCCATTTATTTGCTACTAGCATTATAGTTCTTACTGCCTGCAAAGAAAAAAAAAAGTCTTTGAATAGTAAAACATGCAATACTTTGATAGAAAAATGATTCCCCAACCCTCAAAAGTAAAATAAATAATTAAAATGAAATTGATAAAAATTATTTATCATCATTTTATTTATCAATTTTTTGTTTAATCCAACACTCATCCAACAAAAGAGATTTCAGCCTGTCTTTACTACAATATGTCAATATGTCACACAACATTGATCCATTCTAGTGTACTGATCCCTGTGTTTTTCCATAGTATTTAAATTCCAGTGTGTGGTAACTGTACATAATTCATTAAGTACAGTGTCATGAGCTCATAAACTTGTATAGATGTTAATTATTAATACTCTGCCTCTCAAAACTCAAAAATCATAAGTTTACTGTCTGAAGTATTTTTTGCAAAGTAGGTCAAAGGTCAAGGACATGTAGACTGTAATGTTGGTATTGACAAAAATCAGTACACATACTAAACAGTATAGAATTGCCTCTTAAATATCAAAAGCAAAACTGTAGACTAGCATTATGAACTATTTAAAAATAAAGTTGTCAGCTGAGGTCACGTTCAATGGTCTCAAAGTCCGTAACCATGGTATTTACAAAATTCACAATGCCATACAAATATGTGCAAAATATCTGTGTGACAGACATATGCGATCCTTAAGAGTTGCTCTGCTTTGTAGATAGATAAAAATAGCAAGGATAATTTGTGGGTTTGTTGAACAGTGATTGAAAATTCCTAAAAAAAATAGTTTTTTTTTCCATTAATCTACAACTTTTACCTGTATTCTACGGGCTTGTTGGACATAACTCATGTATCCATGCATGGTTTTTGTCTTCTTCTTTATTGCTGACTTCGTATTTTTACGCCACTCACACTTTACATCTGTTTTAGAAAGACAGCATACATTTATATCTGAAAATTAGAATAAAAAAAAACAAATTAATTTAATTGAAACAAATTAGTAAAGATTATACAGTTCTCCATTTTAATCTCTTGACTGAGATAAAGGTTTTCGAATTAATGTCACTTTAAAACAGAGGTGGCTGTTTATTTAAATTATTATGTAGTGATGTACATTTAAATCTTCATGTATTTATAATTACCCATACAACAGAGGTGTTGAGGTGTTGTAACATTATGTCATATGAAGTTAACCAATGGGCATTCGCATGTAAAAGCAGATACTGTATAATTATACACCTGAGTTGTCTGGAATAAAAATTATACACTATAAATCAAAGTAAAAAATAAAAAGTAATATCTGCCTTCACCCCCCCCCCCCCGCACCCCGGTCCTGAAAGAAAGAACAAAGTCATGGAAAAGTCAATTTACAATTTAAAAGGGATAATCTAAAATGCGATAACATGTACATGTATTATGGAGATTATTTGTTTTCTTGTCGTAGAAAAACTTCAGGACATGCTCACTGGTAACAGGATTCTCAGATTTGCGCAAATGTTTCGACTATCGGCTGTATTAGTGTAAAACAGAGTTACAGTCCCCAGAATCTCCTTTATCCAGCCTCCACGTTCACAGCGTTCTAGATGCGGCTGTTGACAAAAGGAACCTACTTTCACTTTGGAAACCATTAAAAGAGCCTTTACAAAGCCTATTGAAATTGTGTCGAATATTACCCACATTGTAATTTTTTGCATAAACATCACAAGATTCCGAATATACATCACAAGATTTTGAACATACATCACAAGATTATCGAATATACTTCACGACACTATAGAATATACATCACAAGATTTCGAATATACACATTACAAGATTTTGCACATACATCACAAGATTTTGAATATACATCACAAGATATTGAATATACATCACAAGATTTTGAACGTAAATCATAAGATATTGAAAATACATCACAAGATTTTGTATAAACATCACAAGATTACATCGAAAAAAAGGTAACGTTTTGTACGCCGTATATATATATATATATATATATATATATATATATATATATATATATATATATATATATATATATATATATATATATATATATATATATATATATATATATATATATATTAAAGATGTCAAGGAGTACCCGGTTAACCGGGTACTCGATCGAACGTCTGAGTATCGAATACTAAAAATGGTACTCGGTGACTCGAAAGTGTATTTTTTTCTTATTTCAAAGTACATATTTTTATCAAAAACCTATAAAAAAAATATGCATAAGGTAATTAGCGTGTCGTCATCTAATCCTGTGGAACACCCGTTATCGCCTGTGGCTGTGTATATACAGTAATTAGTGACCAATCACCTGGTACACAGCTGTTCTCACCTATTGTGGTCCTTAATTTTTGGATGGCTTTAATGATTGCAATTGTTTTCAGTAAACATCGTTTAAGTATGGTATTATGTTCAAATCATTTTCAAATCATTTAATTAATATACGGCAGCGAAATCGGACATGCATAGAAATGCCGCTACCCAGTTCAAAAGTGAAAAAAAATATTATGAAATAACTAAAGATTACAAAAAAAAATGAAAGTCAGTCTCCGTAGTAAGTTAAGTGTATACGGGAGGAAACAACCAACATATGGAATAATATTATACTACGTCCGTTTCTTACCTTTCGCTAGTCTAATCACCACAAACCTGCGCAACAGATTGTCCTCGTTTTGTGTTGATGAAATAGATCCTAATCAAGGACTGTAAACCATTTGTAATTTTTGTTCTATTAATTGTGTCTTTTGTGTTTATTTTATAAATAAAGTACCAAAAATCATTTTCCTTGGATTCGATTGTTTATATACATTTATAAACGTGATAAAAACAGCTTTGGGGTTTAGCAGAGTTTAAGGGGGCTGAAAAAAACTAACACACTTGTATTTTCATGTTTACCGAGCACCCGGGTACTCGATCGGAAAAACATCCGATTAACCGATTATCAAAAATTGACCGATTTGACATTCCTATTATATATATATATATATATATATATATATATATATATATATATATATATATATATATATATATATATATATATATATATATATATATATATATATATATTAGCCAGAAACGCATGTACAGAATTTGCACATGCAAATAAAGTCAAAGTGCTAGTAAGCCAACATAAATGTAGACTGTCACTGAATCTCGGGATAAAGAGTTGGGAGGGGAATCGACCAAATAAAACATCTCTGTGAAAAGATCACTTATGTCTTAGTGGTATACAGGCCTATTGCATTCTCCATATTAAATCAGAGTTTCACATGGACTTTGGTAAATTTGCACTTCCGTAAGAGTTTTTCCTGCGTTCACTAGCTTGTCAACCTTGTTAAGAAGGGGGGGGGGGGTAATTGTCCCTTTCTAATGGTAACTACCAAGTGAAATTATTCGTGCAGCAACCCCTACTCAAGATTCATAAATCAATATGTTTATCAGGTACTGAAATTGTTTATCGTAAACTCAAAACTGACAAATTGAGATGGGAATCATCATATCCTTAAACTACTAAATAGATATCCTATTTACGCATGTGAGATGAGGTTAGGTATAGGCGTTTCTTTGCAAATGAGCTCATAAAAACGCGTAAGATGTATGTTTATCATTCAGAGAAAGTTTGGATTTATTTTCTTATGCATACTTAGTACCCACGATATGTTATAGCCAATACACATAATGACGTCGTATTATGACGTCAATGATCTTACCTACTGGAGGTAATAAGATACATTAACAAAACAGCTTCGGCGCAAGGGATTACCCTATTTATTTTTACATAAACATTGTATAATGTTAAGAACAATATTCAATAGATTAATATAACTGTTGCACAAATCCTAGGCATTTTCTCATTTGATCGGAATTTGATAAAACTTATACCGGACTGTACATTTTTACCCTTATTCAACGTAAAACTTAACAAATAGAAATTATTCAACGGAGCTGTTGATATTTGTGCTGCAATACCAACAAACTTTGCAATATTTTGCTTCTAAATATACCTTGGTTCAGTTTAATGAAATAGAGCATGCCCTTGCGCCGAACCATTTTTGTTGATGTTCATTATAATCTTATGTAGTAAAGAAGAATGGCGTCATAATGTGTACTGGTTATCTCATGTCGTGGGTACCAAATATGTATTAGACAATAAGTTTTAACTTTCTCTGTATAATAAATATAGTCCTTAGGCATTTTAATTAGTTTATTTGCATAGAAATGCCTATACTTAGCCTTGACTCACCTGCGTAGATTAAAATGACTACAAATATCAACAAGTACATCCAAGTGTCCTAGGTTCTGATTTGTCACTGTCACGGCTAAAAAATATTAAAAAAAAAAAAAAGAAAAAAAAAAAGAAAAAAAAAAACTCTTTTCAAATGCCCTAAACTTACCGGCCATTGAATGCTTGTAAGTATGACAATTTTCATTTTTCCAAATTAAAGAAGCAACGTTTGCCTATCAAATATTTTTACAAGAAGCCATGCAGGCCTATGACCTTTGGAAATTACATGCATTAAAACTTTACTACAGATGTATTGCTAAATCTTAATAATCTCACCACGCACATATCTAAACTTACCATATATAGATGAATAGTACGAGGGTTATCCCAGAAATATGCAAATATTTTCATTATCTTTTGTTACACTAATACTACAAAGTTAAAAATTGGCATACTTCATAATCAACATTTTTTGAATAATGCGTAAAACTTTCAATGAAAAATCTCCATAGATAACATTTTTCTCTCATGTAAACGAATCTTACAAATCAGTTGTCGGCACAACACTGACGTTGCTCGTGGCGTTTGTAAATTTGTTCTACAAATGTGCTTCTGATAAAATTCGTTTAAGCGTAAATTCGGCACTGTATTTAATTTTCTTTTATTTACCAAGTTATACACCTCAAATACTAGTGTTACCAAAAGATTGCGGAATCAATTCTTTTAATAGACTACTGGATGAAATCCCGCGCAAGCGCGGGGAATTGAATTTATACCACTACCGACAGAAAATATAATTATAGTTTCTACTGACAGCCTACAGCTTATAGCAGGAAGAAATACTTTGTTCAAAATCCCGCATGAAGTAGATGTACGTCTCCGCCCCAACCCTATTTTGTAAAATTTGAAAAATAATGATTTCATCAATTGACGTTTATTTTGAAACATGTAATACTATGTTATGGATATTGTACTTCAGATGCTCTTATTTCATTTTCGTCGAGGATAAAAGCAGCGAAATAAGCAAATATGCACATTTTACTGATAATTTGGTTTTTTTTTGTTTTTTTTTTAATTGGGGGGGGGGGGGTAAAATTCACAGGTACTTGGGTCTTGGTTTATAAATGTGAATGTACCTTATTGATATGTAAAAAAAAATGTACTTTACTTTTTTACATATCAATAAGGTACATACATATTTATATACCAAGACCCAAGTACCTGAGGCTGTGTAAAAAAAAAAAAGAAGCTTTTAACGCTCTGTGAATAGGCCGAGTATTTGATACAAAAGACTGTATTCAGAAAAAAAAAAATGAAATGTATTGATTAAAGCACAAAATTTTACAGCTTTAATTGTATTTGAACTATACCTTATTTATTAATTTTCTCTTTTTGTGTAAGCAAGTTTATTACGAAGTACAAATTGTACTTCGGGTTCGTTGCCACGATGCTCTCGGTTACCGATAAATTTATTAGGAAAACCTACTACATATGTAATAGTCTTTCGATAGATAAATACAGTATATTCACAACTTATAGTGTTATCAATGATTTACCATTATTTCAATGACCATTCAAACAAAAGCTTTTTTATGTTCATACAGCTGTAATCGCCTCGGTTTTTTTTTTCTTTCTAACATCGGGCTCAATGCTTTATGATGTTCTAGAAGCTTCCATCAATACTAAGATCGGTGAATGACGAAAATAATTTGCACATTGCCCTTTTTAATCGGTTATCACAACATATTTCTTTTATATCATTTAATTCAAGTTTTGATTGAATGATTCAGTGAAGACGTTTTATGAAATAAATAAACGATTGCTTGTTGTCATCTCTTTAAAAATTGCCAGTAACTTAGATCCGCCAACCGGAAACGCCACCTTACTCACGTTTTTCCTATTTCATGGCTGTTTATAGGAAATGAAAGTGGACTTTTAATTTGATGAACGATACTTACTATGCGAGTGAAATCTAAATATAGATTACGGACATCATCTTGTATACAGTGTATTGTTAAAGGAGTAATTAAGAACTGTGGTGCACCCGTTTCGGAGTTTATTTGCAAAATCTATTAATTTATAAGTATAGATTTCTTAATCCCGATAATAAACCTAACAGTTCGCATTGTTTAACGTCGGCCTTCATTTAGGCCTGTGACGTCCATCTCCTGACTTTCATTTTGTCTTCATTTTTGTTGGTCTACAAAACGCCTTTTCTATCGGATTACCAGTCAAGCCATCCTCAAACCTCTTCAACTAGGGATAAACCTGTGTCCAAGATTTATGTTTTTGTTTTTACATCGTTAACATCTCTTTTACCGTATGGATAGAAGTCATATCCCGCTCAACACAGTACTGCTTAATACTTTGGTGCTCCACATTATCGCAAAACATCACCATTTTTCACAATATCTGATTTAAACTGTTTTGGCATATAATGTCATGTATTTGTCATTAATGATGTCAAATAAATGAATTTTCATAAACGAGTATACCAGATCAAAGAGTGTTTATG